GCCGCGGTATGAGGAAAAAAAAATATTATTAATAAGTTTTAATTGTAAGATGGTGCATTGCCAGGGCTTTGAGGTACTTCCAGTATCTCTGTCATGTTGCAATTCGTTCCTGAGTAGCCATCTTGAGCGTCCACTTATATATAGGCACTTCCGTCCGCTTGCTAGCCAAAGCCAAATGCTCTCTCCTGTGATTCTTTACTCATTGGTCTCGACACGCACCTCCACACATACTGTGTGTGTGTGGGCTTAAATAGTTAACAGAACTGTTGCGCTAAGCTTACAAATAAGACGCTTTCGCTAACATAAACTACTCCAAGGAACATTCTTACTCAGTGCCACTTCTGTATGCATTATACGCAAGGTTCTGGCCGTATTGACCCTCGACCGAGGGCAGGTGCCATTTAAGAAAGAAGAAGAAGAAGAAGACAATTTTGATTATGGCAGTGAAGTTAAATCTTACAGCTTACCTTGTCCAATCGATGCCAATTCAAATTGTAGAAAAAGAAAAAGAGACGGTTTTGATTGACGGACTAATCTCAGTTAATCAATTTAAAATGACGTTTGTCAAGTGAAGAAAAATCTTAAAACTTTTTCCTTTTATATATTTTTATTGCATTTACAGCGATATAATAGTTTCCACAGAGGCTATCATGGTAAATAAATTATGGTATTCTTTTTTATTGTATCCATGCGACAAAATCGATCTATGCTGACACGATTTGACGGAGTGTGCATCTAAACATTTTATCTTTTTGCACAAAACTCGTCAAATATATATAAACGAAAAAAAATTTGCAAAAGGTGTACGTAATATATATTTAAAATAGATTTAAAATTTTTGCAGGATGATGATGTAGCTGCTCTGCAGAATCTGGAACAGCTTATGACAGAATTTTTCTCTCCAGAAACGACCAATGAAAAAAAACATACGATCGAACGTAGTTTTCAAGAATTTGCCGCCCAGATTGACTCCTGGAAACCATGTTTGCATTTCTTGTCCTCTACAAGCAATCACTATGTCAGTATGTTTGCTTTGTCCACTCTGGAGGTAATTGTATATATAATATTATTTTGTATGTAACAGTGTGACTTTCTCTAATCTTTAATCTGTGAATTATTTGATAGACAACTATAGGAAGACGATGGCCCATTCTCCCATGGGAGGATAGGGCTCTCACGAGATCTACTTTGTATACATTATCGTTAGAAAGAGATGTCGTGCCCTTTGTAAGGAATAAGGTAGTGAAATTGGTAGTGGATATAGCAAGACATGACTGGCCACATTTTTATCCTGATTTTTACTCCAACATTTTACAGGTTTGTATGAACAGAATAGTTTTTCTTTCTTTTTACATAAATGGTTTACAGTTAATGGATTTGGCTATTTAATATTGTCGAATTTTTATTACAGTTGTTAGATCACAAACATACAAGATTGTTGGGACTTGTATATTTGAGAACAGCTTCGGAGGAATTAGCCACACCAAGGGAAGATCTGCCGATGCACAGAAAAAGCGAGCTATTTAGATTATTGAGTTCACAAGTGCCTCTGACTTTGGATACACTTACTGGTTGTTGTTAATTGTTATTGTTGGAATATAGAATATACGTTGTAGTATTATATATTAATGATTTTATAATCTCTCTTTTTTTGGTTATACTAGTTCTTCTAAAAGAGACCACAAAATTGCAAAGTCGTTCTGGAACTGTGACACCACCCCCATCACCTATTAGTGGACAAAGTCTTGCATCTGCACGTACAATATTAGATGTCGAGGGATTGGCAACAGGCACCAGTGAAGTTTGCATAGCTACTCTTGAAGTTTTAGCACATCTGTTTAGTTGGATAGATCTATCAAGCAATATCTCTACTAATTTATTGGATGCTATTTTTTCTTGTGCTAAATATTATGATGCAATGGTAGGATTTTACTTATACAATAGGATATGCATTAGCAGGAAGAAAAATAATAAATTTGTCCACGTTTTTGTAGAATAGCAAACAAATAGAAATGGCTGTTCAAGCTTTCACAACAATTAATGAGCTTTTGTATAGACCGCTCTGCTCGCCTGATGCAACTGATATATTGTTACTAGAAATATTTCAAAATGGTGTTGGTTTATTCCAATTAATGGAACGTCTAGATTCTATAGAGGAGAGGTATGCCTTCTTAGGAAAAATCTGTTGTGATATTTTCAACATAAAATACAAGATAAAATATGTTTTTTTAGCTACATGGAGAAAATGACAGAGTTTTTACAATTATTTGTAACAAATCATCTGAAAAGAATGGAATCGAGCTCAAAATTTCCAGTAAATACATTATTAGAAATACTGTGTCATCACACATTTCAGCAAGCCTCTACCGTGAACAGTTATTTGCGTTGTTTAGACGTTTGGACTACACTTTTGGAGAGTATTCAGTCACGATATTCTGCCATCGCATTAGCCCTCGCCGAACGGATCTTGCAAAAAATGAGTTTTAAATTTAACGCTCGAGTATTAAGGGATCTCGATACAGAAAGTTTAGATGAGAACGTAGGTGTAAACCTGTATAACTTATATAAATATAATTTAGAGATCAGAGATATATATAATATCAAGTGCTTCATTAAATCTTATAATTTTTCTTCTTGCAGGAAGAGACAGAGTGGCAGCATTTTCTGAGATGCAATGTAGAATGTTTAGCAAAAATCGCCGACATCTCGCCTGTTCCAGTATTTACACTATTGGTAATTTATAGTAGTAATATACCCATGTCTTATATATGTATTTTTATATATGACAAAATTATTAATATTGGATATTTTTGTTTCAGTATCGTTCATGGAGAGAAGGATTAATTATTTTCGGAGAATTAGGCGCTGCTGTCGCCAATGGACAAGTTATTTTACTAAATGATGTGGAGGCATCAAATGTACATGCGCATTTGAGAGATCTTGCATCAACTACACAAGCTTTAACTAGACTATATTCTCTTTTCATTGGTAAGCTATTGCGTGCGGGCAATTTTATTAATTTTTGTGCGAATAACAATTATTTGTATCAATAGGAGATCAAACGAATGTCGATCAAACCTTAGCGGAGGAAGTTATATCACAAACTCTAGACGCATGTATATTCGCAAGAGATAATCAATTGTATAAAGCGGCACTTCAACCAGCCGCCATCGTAATAGATCTTATAGAAGTGTAAGTTCTTAACTATATCTTGTACATGATTTTTTAAGTATGTACAACAAAATCCATAATATATTATAATCATGAAGGCATTTGTTATATCTTTATTTGCGCTATTAGACATTCACAGCTTTTGGCTTCTCTTCAAGCATGGTGTCATTGGATAGTCAGGAAACCGGAGAAGACAAAGGAGGCACTCTGTCAGCGTTGCATCGATTCGTGTATTTGGGCAACAACGTATACTGCACCCTGCGATCATCCACCTCCTTTAAATCTTGTCCATTCCGCCGTTCACCTTTTTCAAAGTATCACCGCCATTTTGAAACCAATCTTGTGGGACCAACCGATTTTTAGGAATTTAATTTCTACGGACACGTATCCGTATTTGAAGCCAGATACGATCAAAGTTCTGCGAAGGGCATTGATAAATGGAATTATATTACCACTTGGTGATGCAGTGATAAGGCAAAGATTATTGGGTGAGTTGTCAGATTGTAAAATCTATAACTATCGATATATATAAAATATTTATAGTTTTTGTTTTTATGAAAAGATATATAAAAGAAAAATATCTCATCTAGATACTATGATATTGGCCTTATCTGCACCTCTGGGTATGCAAGGACAACCAGTGCCTTTAGAATCGACAATTTCAATTACGGTAATGCCTCTAACTCAATTATTAGAAGATTGCGCGTCCTCATCTACGACTATAAAAAAAATGTTACATTCGTGTTTGGAATCGATAATAAATAGGACATTAGAGTTATTGTCTTATGTGATAAGGTGTCAGATTATATGCGAAGTGTTACTTGGCTTCCTACACTCGACATTTTCAGTATTACAACAACAATTAGGCCCCGAGTTTATGCAAAATGCGGTTCAAGGCATGCTGCAGCTTTATACCAGGTTTGTACAAAGTATTACATTACAGAGGCAAAAATATTTAATCAAGATGTAATAGCAGATTTTACGTTATCCAAGATCATAATATCCAAAAATATGCCTTTTATTTTCCTTATTTTAATCTATTTTTATTTATCACAATTTTTTCTAAGTGTTTTTAGAATTAAAATCAAGCTTTCTTATCACTTTTTCGTGAACAACAGATGTAAAAACTATATAATCAATATGTAATCAATATTATATTTATAAATATATATATTTATATGGTTTTATATAGAAATTATACATATACATATATATATTTGTATATCCCATTTAAAATTTTTTAACAATTTTTTTCAACAGAGCATCAATTGCTTCATTTACAGGGAAAATATTTCTGCCGGTCCTGCATTGGATCAATTGCTGGAAATTTTAATACTTGTCATATCAGCACCCAGCAATGCATTTAAGGCATTTGTCCCTTCTGTAACGAGTCTGTGTTTAGGTCAAGTATGGCCTGCAATCGGAAGCAGCCTAAGTGCTCATCCGGATACAACATTAGTTTTATTAAAACTTTTCCATAGGTAATATATTGGTAATGTATATTTTTTTATTTCTATTTTAAAAGCCAGTCCTTTCAAAAAATTATTAATTTTTAGTATTCTTATGCATCGATGGCAATATTTCTATAATACCTCAATATTGCGTACTCTTGGGCATCCCAATGAAGACGAACCTGTCGAGCATAAAGAAGAATTAGTAGCTATTTTAGAGGCATTTGGTCAAGCTCTACTTCAGTCAGACGTCAATATATTTCGACAGAGTTTGCAAAGCCTCGAGCAATTAAATATCAGGTGGCGACTTTATCAACGAGCCATATTCAAAGTTCATCTTCTTGAAAGATTTTTGATGGCATTATTCACAGTTTTATTTCAACAGTAAGTATTATACTATATTATAACATATTCATTAATATTAAGAATATGCTTGCCATTTAAACTCGTTAGATTTGTATTTATAACATACTATTTAATTTATATAGGTCTCACAACTTGCTAGCAGACGAAATAGCCGCCGCTGTTCACAGTCTAGCATCTGTCAACATAGGATGGTTTTTTGGCCATTTTTTGCCAACGTTCTTAGCAACTTGCGAAGGCGTAGACGATATGCAGAGAGCCACATTGTTGGGAAACTTTGATAAATCCACAGTGTGTTTAATCTTTAACATTTTTTAAATATAAAAGTATAAATCGAATACATGCTTAATAAGAATAATGGTTTTTTGTTTTTTTTTCCAGGATCAACCAACTCTGACGAGATCAGTTCTTCAACTTATCTCAGACTTAAGATGTTACCAACTGTGCAGACCAGGCTGAAACACGTATTAGGACGAAATTTGCAATTTGAAGTTAAGACTTTTACAGTGGCATTTAAATGAAATCAGCATTTTTACCAAATCTCTTTTGTATTCGAGTGCCTCCAGATACAGATACAAGAGACATTAACCATGATGAAACGAAGAAAAACAAAAGACTTTTGTAAACATTAACTATTCTGTGTATATCACTGCCATACTATCTTTTTGTGATGTAAAAGCCATTATATTATGAATGAAACATGCCTTTTTTTATATGTCTATAAGAGCTTATATTTTTCAGATTTTCTCTTTATGTCTACTCTTCGACTTTTTATAGAGGTATGTAATTATAATATATGTATTGGTAAAAATTGTAGCAGAAATAAAACTATTTACCACAGAGTTTGTAAATTGTTAATAACCTGCCATTTATTACATATATTGTGATCTCCTTCTTTTTCTTCTTCTTCCTCGTGTGGGGGTTGGCTCCGACGAGTACTCGTCACACGGCCATCAACTGGTTTGTTGGTAGCAATGCAGATCTTAAAAGATCAATTGTAAGTAAGAGAGGGTGAAACTCCTGCTCGTTGATTGGTTGGTTAGAAGTGGTAAGAAATCAAAGGAAGGAACGAGGTATTTCGAGGAGTCAGACTTGAATTTTACAAGATTTGAGAAAGGAGTAGATGGCAAGGACCACTCCGGAGGAAGGCTCCGCCAATAGTTCTGCAGCATCCATTGGAGGAAAAATGTCCAATTGATTGAGCGCTCTTATCAAAGAGTGTCTGCTAATATTTAGAAGAGAACATGACCAGAGTATATGGTTTATATCCTGAGTGAGGGCTCCGCAAGGACAGCTAGATTGAGGTACCAGATTGCAGCGGTATAAGCTGCTATTGAGTGCGTAATGTCCGCTTCTTATCCTACAGCAGGTAGTTATGCTTTCTCGATTGAAATTCTCCATCTCGTAGAACCAAGGTCTCGGACGGAATTCGTCAAAAGATCGAAAGTAATTAATCCCCTTATATCTTGCCTGTTTTTTGAAACTGTCAAGCCTTTAGTTGTGAGATAATCACATGCACGTTTAGCGGCTGTTTCGATTTTAGAGATGGAATCGTGTATTTGCGGGACCTATGTGAAGTTGGCACCCCACTTTTAATAAATAAAGTTTTCAATACAGAAAATGATAGTATTTCGTTTGTAGTTGTTTGTAGTAAAAATATTTTCGTTTGTAGTTTGATCCATAAATAAATAAAAAATTTTTTAAAAACGGCTGTCACCCGACTTTAAGATATCTCAAATCCGCTTTCGCCATTCGTTTTAGAATCGTTTGTAGTTGTTTGTAGTGATTTTGCTTTTGTTTGTAGTTGAACAGTTTAAAAGTTACAACGTATTTGCAATAAACAAACAACGTTATTTTTTCAATTTTAAAGATATCTAAAATCCGCTTTTGCCATGTGTTTTAGAATCGTTTGTAGTTATTTGTAGTGATTTTGCTTTCGTTTGTAGTTGAATAGTTTAAAAGTTACAACATATTTGCAATAAACAAATAACGCAACTTTGTCAATTTTAAAGATATCTCAAATCCGCTTTCGCCATGTGTTTTAGAATCGTTTGTAGTTATTTGTAGTGATTTTGCTTTCGTTTGTAGTTGAATAGTTTAAAAGTTAGGTTGTGTTCCAACCACCAATCCAGTCTCAGCAGAATAAGTTTCTCAAGCAGTTTTAAGCAGCAAGAGGTAAGGGAAATGGGTCTATACTTTTCCGGAGTAGATTTGGGAATAAGGAAAACAAGAGAGTGCCTCCAAGCATCAGGGAAGAGACCCGTAAAAAATATCTGATTGAAAGTTGCAAGTAAGGGTAAGTGATATTCGTGAGGAAGACAAGAGATAATACGTGATTAAAACCGATTAAAACCGATTAAAACGGATTATGTTTTAATCGGTTTTAATCGACCATTTTTGGCAGGGACTCCTCATTCCACCACGGGGCCGGAGGAGATGTAAATTTCTTGCGATTGCATGTTCGAGATGGAGTGAGCGAAAGAATGAGCGAAGGAGTGAGCGAAAAAATTTGACGACAGTTATAATAGAATCGTATTTGTCTAAGGGTGAGATACTATCCTGGTTGAGTTGAGTGAGAAGCTGGGAGTGCTGGTTTAATAAAGAGAGTGTAAATTGTTTCCAATTAATGCGTGAGGTGTTGAGTTTATGCGAAAAGAAAGAGCGACATTTAACAGGATTGGACAGTGAAATAATAGTTGGGATATGATCGCTGTTTAGCGAATCATCGAAAGATGTCCATGAACATAAAGGGAATAGATCTGAGGAAGCAAAAGTTAAATCGATCGCTGAAGGAGTCTGATTTGGACGGGATATGTACGTAAAAGTGCCATCGTTTAAGGGATAGAGAGTGTGGTCCAATGCGGAATCAAGGAGAGCTTTACCGACGGAGTCAGGGGACGCACATCCCCAGATATTGTGGTGAGCGTTAAAATCACCCATGATGATAATACGAGAAACGGAAGGGATGGAAGAGAAAAGGTTGTCCCAGTTAGAGTAATCGAAGTTACCTGGGTGACGGTATATAGAGACGATGTAAATAGGATCTGTAGGAGTCTCGATCCTAATTGCAATCGACTCGAGTCGACCTTGGATAGAGTAAATAGAGTCGATTTTAGTAAATGGTATCCAGTCTTTGATGGCGATGATCACCCCCCCAGATCTACTGGAGGGTCCATCAGAGCGAATTATACGAAAATTGTGGAAGTTGAAATTTTGTTCTGTGGTAAGCCAGGTTTCTGAAAGTGCAAGAACGTCGTAGTCCTGGATAATATTAAGCAACAGGTCCCTTTTATTCCTAAGTTCATGGCAATTCCATTGGAGAATATTAATGCCCTCTCTAACGGGATTACTTGTCATTGTCGTCGTTGTCATTATGGTGAGGGGACCTCTAGTCCGGATTAAGCAGTAAGCTTTGGATAGAGTCTATTATCTTGTGAACTTCCTCCGTCATTGAAGGGGAAGAGAGAGCCGAAGTGAGATGGATAAGAAGAGAGCCAATAGTTTTCACCAGATCGTTAGCAGAAAAATCTTTATGTTGAATATTAACGTTGCTATTGTGATCTTTACCAAGACTGGATTGGGACGACGAGGTGTCACTGAATACGATTTTGTTTCGCGATCTAGGAGGTCTCCCATTAGGAACGACAAATAAATCCGGTGATGGGCGCGGAGAGGAAAGCGACGGGGATGTCGCATTTCTTTGTTGGGGAGATTTGGAGGAGAACGATTATGCAAGGAATTAGAATATTCCGAGGCCGCTTTGGCATAGGTTGTACGCGGGTGGTTCGATAAGGAAGACCCAGACGCATTGTGTAAACAAGAGCTTTCAAAACTAGCGGGGGAATGCGGGAGGAGAGGATACTCATCCAAGGAAGGGGAGTAAGGTGGTGAAGATCTGTTACCTCTTATTTCCCTGGCGTCAAGCAGCGAAATGTTCCTGTGAACCGCGTATTACCTAATCTCCTTTTGAATTGACAGCTCAGGGCATGATGGTGCATCCGCTCTGTGACCACCTCCGCAGTTGCCACATTTAGGGGGATCATGTGCGTGAGGGCACTGCTCTTTATCGAAACAATGATCCTTCTCTCCACAGTGGACACAACGTGGTTTGCTTCTGCATGATGCTTTTATATGCCCAAACCTGTAACAGGAGTGGCATAGAGATACTCTGGTAACGTAGGGAGAGACAGGGTAACTGACATAAAAGAGAGAAACGTTTCTGGGTATTTTTTGGCCCTCAAAAGTAATCACTACTGTGAAAGAGGGGGTGTAATTAACAGCGGAAGCCTCTTCCCCTCCACGAGGGTCAGGGTCCAGTATTCTTCTGTTAAGTCTTTTACCCGACACAATCTTGAAAGGGCTCTTAGTGTTCTCAGATATCAAGTCATCGGAGAGGTCCAGAGGGACATTCCTGATAATTCCTTTGCGAGAGGTGCGAGATGGGGGGATAAATGCTATCAGATCCTCCTTCTTTAGACGTGAGTCGTTGACTAAGTCATTAGCCGCTTCACGAGTCTTTACAAAGATTGAGACCTTGGAAAAGCCCACCTTTCTAATTTCCATCACGTCACTTATGTTAAGACTGGCAATTATCCTTCCTACGGATATTGGATGAAGAGGAGCGTGTGGCTTCGAAATCCTTTGTACGTGTACGTCAAAAGGTCCTTGATTATCTGAGGAATATCTGTTCTTCAATATACTCTCCAATATAGTAATAGCTGAGCCTGAGGTAGAAATATTAACAGAATCAAGAGAAGAATGAGTCTCAGTACTGAAGACCTTTCTTGTGGTCTGGCTGTGAGCTAGGTCTGTTTTTGCACGTTTCAGGCTTTTTTTTTTAATAACTGATGGTGTACGCACATTTTTAGATGAATTTAATTGTGAGAGACCGGCTTCCGATCTGAGATTATTCAGAGCTTCCATATCGATGTCATCGTCTTGGATGACAATATTCTCTTCCGAATGTGAAGAAAAATTAGAGTTATGGCTACTCACATTGTCCTTAAGGAAGTCGTTAGATCCTCCGGAGTTCATATTGAAAGGATAAAAGGATTTTACAAGAGAAGGAAGAATAATACAGAAAGATTTTTTAATCCGTAGCTGCGAGGCACGATGGCGCCAGGCACATTGGCCTTTGTCGAGGCGCCTGTTGCGACTTACTTTTATAAAAGTAATAGCGTATGAAATTTCACTTTGGGCGTCAAAATAAAAGCTTCTGGAGGAAGCACGCTACAAGAGCCAAATAATTCTGACAAAATATCGCGAACTGTAGCCCAGAAATGGGCTGATTATTCGAAACTTCGAGAGCACTCGCAAAAACACGTCCGTATCGTAGCACATGCAAGATGGCGACCTATATTGTGATTATTAGTTGTTGGATTCGGATAAATTATCTACCATTTCTATTTTGAACATAGAATTTTTGCGATATTGCATATGTGGATTAAGGGCCAATTTCACCAAGTCCGGTTAGATGAACCCATAGACATAATATATCTAGACCGAGTGTTGAGGAGTGGGGGTAAAGATGCACGTAGAAAAGGACACACTCTGTTTTGTGCCCCTTGCGTTCTCTCTCGCTCGCACGTAGGATGGCGAAAGAGAGCGCTATGCTACGTGCGAGCGAGAGAGAACGCAAGGGGCAC